TGATGAGGTTGGATGTTATCACTGTGTTAAGTTGATGAGGTTGGATGTTATCACTGTATAGTTGATGAGGTTGGATGTTATCACTGTGTTAAGTTGATGAGGTTGGATGTTATCACTGTTTAGTTGATGAGGTTGGATGTTATCACTGTTTAGTTGATGAGGTTGGGTGTTATCACTGTGTATTGTTGATGAGGTTGGATGTTAGCACTGTGTAAAGTTGAGGTTGGATGTTATCACTATGTATGGTTGATGAGGCTGGATGTTATCGCTGAGTATGGTTGATGAGGTTTGATGTCATCACTATGTATTGTTGAGGTTTAATGTTATCACTGTATTTGGTTGATGAGGTTGGATGTTATCACTGTTTAGTTGATGAGGTTGGATGTTATCACTGTTTAGTTGATGAGGTTGGATGTTATCACTGTGTTAAGTTGATGAGGTTGGATGTTATCACTGTGTTAAGTTGATGAGGTTGGATGTTATCACTGTTTAGTTGATGAGGTTGGATGTTATCACTGTGTATGGTTGATGAGGTTGGATGTTATCACTGTTAAGTTGATGAGGTTGGATGTAGTCATTGTTTGGTACCAGATACACGACAAAGATGTACCAGATACACGATACATGACAAAGATGTACCAGATACATGACAAAGATGTACCAGATACATGACAAAGGTGTACCAGATACATGACAAAAATGTACCAGATACATGACAAAGATGTATCAGATACAAGACAAAGATGTACCAGATACACGACAAAGATGTATCAGATACAAGACAAAGATGTACCAGATACATGGCAAAGATGTATCAGATACAAGACAAAGATGTACCAGATACATGACAAAGGTGTACCAGATACATGACAAAGATGTACCAGATACATGGCAAAGATGTACCAGATACATCACTAAGATGTACCAGATACATGGCAAAGGTGTACCAGATACATGGCAAAGATGTACCAGATACACGACAAAGGTGTACCAGATACATGACAAAGATGTACCAGATACATGGCAAAGATGTATCAGATACAAGACAAAGATGTACCAGATACATGGCAAAGATGTACCAGATACATGGCAAAGATGTACCAGATACATGGCAAAGATGTACCAGATACATGGCAAAGATGTACCAGATACATGGCAAAGATGTATCAGATACATGACAAAGATGTATCAGATACAAGACAAAGATGTACCAGATACATGGCAAAGATGTACCAGATACATGGCAAAGATGTATCAGATACAAGACAAATATGTACCAGATACATGGCAAAGATGTACCAGATACATGGCAAAGGTGTACCAGATACAAGACAAAGATGTACCAGATACATGACAAAGATGTACCAGATACATGACAAAGGTGTACCAGATACATGGCAAAGATGTACCAGATACATGGCAAAGATGTACCAGATACATGGCAAAGATGTACCAGATACATGGCATAGATGTATCAGATACAAGACAAAGATGTACCAGATACATGGCAAAGATGTACCAGATACATGGCAAAGATGTATCAGATACATGACAAAGATGTATCAGATACAAGACAAAGATGTACCAGATACATGGCAAAGATGTACCAGATACATGGCAAAGATGTACCAGATACATGGCAAAGATGTATCAGATACAAGACAAAGATGTACCAGATACATGGCAAAGATGTACCAGATACATGGCATAGATGTATCAGATACAAGACAAAGATGTACCAGATACATGGCAAAGATGTACCAGATACATGGCAAAGATGTATCAGATACATGACAAAGATGTATCAGATACAAGACAAAGATGTACCAGATACATGACAAAGATGTACCAGATACACACAACAGATACATGTATGGCCTCGAAAGTCAATTAATCAAGGCAATTTCAAATAAAGATTTTCAAAAACATTTTAGATTGCCAGCCAGTATACCGTTATTTGATCAATTTCTATAGATACTCACGGTGACCTTGACTGTGAATTTCAAACAACTGATTAGTCATTTATTTTCTATAGATATCGATGATGACTTCGAAATTGAAAGTTCAATCGCAGCAGACAAACTGTCGGTGTATTCTGGAATTCTAGATCTAGACTGAAACTGATAGTTTCTGACACACAAAATAGTATCAGAAAATTCTATGTTTTTTATATGGATACTCGCTACGGGATGCTGTTTTTTCGTATCATTGATATCATTAAGTTATTTGATGGTATCACTGATTTGGATTAGTGATATCACTATTAGAGTTAATGACATAAATAAATATAAAGTGACATCACTAATTTCAATGATCGATATCACACTTTGAAGATAAATATTAAAGTGACGCCCCACAGCTGTCTGTACCTACACCAGACATCTGTCTTTCAAAACATCTAAGTCCAGTTTGTCTGAATCTGCAAACAGCAGGTGGTAATTTATCTGAATGTGCTAACGGCAGGTGGTAATTTATCTGAATGTGCTAAAGGCAGGTGGTAATTTATCTGACTGTGCTAACGGCAGGTGGTAATTTATCTGAATGTACAAACAGCAGGTGGTAATTTATCTGAATGTGCTAACGGCAGGTGGTAATTTATCTGAATGTGCTAACGGCAGGTGGTAATTTATTTGAATGTGCTAACGGCAGGTGGTAATTTATCTGAATGTGCTAACGGCAGGTGGTAATTTATCTGAATGTGCTAACGGCAGGTGGTAATTTATCTGAATGTGCTAACGGCAGGTGGAAATTTATCTGAATGTGCTAACGGCAGGTGGTAATTTATCTGAATGTGCTAACGGCAGGTGGTAATTTATCTGAATGTGCTAATAGGAGGAGGAAATGTCTGAATGTGCTAACAGCAAGTAGAAATTTATCTAAATGTGCTAACAGGAGGTGGAAATTGATCTGAATGTGGTAACAGCTGGTTGAAATTTATCTAAATGTGGTAACAGGTGGGTGAAATTTATCTGAATGTGCTAACAGCAGTGACGTTGCTAGTTTAGCAACTTTATCACTTCTTTACCCGAAAATAAATTAATCCCTTGCAATATTGCTGCATGGGATGTATATCTTTCCTGTGAAAAGAACTGATTGTTTCAGTGTGTAAAGTACCTGGTACCTTGAGGTGGAATTGATAGTATAGGTATCAGACGGAGGCTACATAACATTTTCTCAATATCTTTCTAAGATAAAGAATTAAAACCTTTCTGGATTTTTTTTAACAACTTGGGTCAGTAAGCCGATCAGGATTTACGTGAACCAGCTCATGACCAATGACATTCGAATGCCAGAAATATCTTTTTAAATATTGCGTATACTGAAACGACCAAGGAACGCTATTTGTAGATCGTTAAGAATCTGTTATTTGTGTCGTTATATAAAACCAAGCTACAAGTATAAGGGAAATAAAATAACGCCCTGTCTACAGCCCGAGCCAGTCGAAATTAATTTTGTCGGGAGTAATAACTCAAATCGCATTTCTTTTGCATAAACTCAACTTTTGAGGCCGCGGTTGTCCTTGGATTGCAATGAGACGGGCCCCCGTACAGCATTCAGAGAGGAAACCACGTCAGCAACTACGCGAAGGTTCCGCCTCAAAATGACCCTGTCTGTCCAAGGAGCGATAAACTAACAAACAAAACTTCAGTGAGCCGAGAAAAAATACCTCACGTCCATTAATAGTTTACACGTGATGCATGTCATTTATCATATTTCTGCTGCAAGGTTCTTTTTAAGTCGAATACTCATCATAGATCAAAACTATACTCCTTTAATTTATGGTGCATTGTCAGTTTAACAACTTCCATGACAGGCCCTATCAAAATCGGAAATTTTCCACAACATCACCGATACAATACCATAACATACTCAGATTTCAGTGTAAGCCTTTTACAATTTTAAACTATCATATTTTTTATTTATTTTTTATTTTTTATTTATTCATTTACCTAATTTTCGTGATTTTTCTTACATTCATTTCTAAATATATGATTTATTATTGTTGATAATTTACTGTATCATTAAAAAATAAACTATATTGTAAAATATTGTTTCTGTCTGCTTCGATTTTCCGTACCATAAAACGAAAAGATACAATGTCAAGCAAACGGTCGCCTCGCATGACGGTCCAATTTTAAAATTTTCGCTATTATTTTTTCTTCGATTTCAAATTATTTTTTTTTTTAATCTTAATTACTTGTAAGTATAACGAAGATAAATTGTGTCTGCGTTGAAGACAACTCACTTTTTTTTATGGAGTCGTGTTTTATCTCAGTCGCATGAAGAGGAACCAGCGATGCTGATTTCAAACATACTTCCGTCGTCAATTACCGCCGGTTGTCACGTGATATCTATAAATAAGTACCGAACATTTACCACGAGCCACCGGGACAAGCATCCTGTAGCTACAAGCTTGTTTGTTTGTCCGAGATAAAAATTGGGGAGTTTGAAATTCCACGGAGACTGAAAGTGTCTTGACATACATAGAATTTGCCGACCATACACTGTTGTGGGAACGTTATAACTGTCATCTAGATTTCAGCTCGATAAATTATTTCAACTTTCTGTCCGGAGTGCTTTATCAGACAACTTCTGTGGATATATTCTGGGAAAGTGACATTTTCATTCTTCTTTTCTCGGATACATTTACGTGACAAAAACACGCGACTGTCAACCTGTTTTGGAGATATATCTACAAAATACATTTTGGGAGAAAGTTACATTAGTGTACTTAAGAAGGCTGAACACGTATATGAAAAGGTAAGCTCTGAAGCACTTTTATACATCATTTCTTCTTTGAGACATCGTTCAACATCGAGACATCAGTTTATCAAGAGATATTTCAACATAGACTTGAAAAAATGAAAATCGAAAATAATTCTCTTCATCGAATTTATTATTTTGTGTTTCTATCAGCGGTTCCGACACACGTGTGTTGAGTATGACGACTACACTTGAACCAAACTGAAGGAGTACACTGGAGCTACGATTAATCAACGATGAATACTCAATTCTATCTTCTAGTTTTCTTATTTGGTACCGGATTTTGTCAAGGTAGGTCTCACACAAATTATCCTCAACAGAAACGTTCAAGTAATGTCTTACACCGGATATTAGTAAAGTTAAGTTTTACACCATAAGATACGTCTATAACACGGGAAACATTAAACGTTACGTAAAGTGTACGTTTTACACCGAGAACAGTCAAATAATGTCTTACACCGTTCACAGTGAAGTTACGTCTTAAACCGGAAACAGTCATGTACGTTTTACACCGGAAACAGTCAAGTTACGTCTTACACCGAAAACGGTCAAGTTACGTTTTACATCGAAAACGGTCAAGTTATGTCTTATACCGGTCACAGTGAAGTTATGTCTTAAACCGGAAACAGTCATGTACGTTTTACACCGGAAACAGTCAAGTTACGTCTTACACCGAAAACAGTCAAGTTATGTCTTACACCGAAAACGGTCAAGTTATGTCTTACACCGAAAACGGTCAAGTTACGTTTTACATCGAAAACGGTCAAGTTATGTCTTATACCGGTCACAGTGAAGTTATGTCTTAAACCGGAAACAGTCATGTACATTTTACACCGGAAACAGTCAAGTTACGTCTTACACCGGTTACAGTCAAGTTATGTCTTACACCGAAAACGGTCAAGTTACGTTTTACATCGAAAACGGTCAAGTTATGTCTTATACCGGTCACAGTGAAGTTATGTCTTAAACCGGAAACAGTCATGTACATTTTACACCGGAAACAGTCAAGTTACGTCTTACACCGGAAACAGTCAAATTACGTCTTATGTCTTAATAATGTGAGTAAAGGGGAAGGTTTCGATACATATTTCTGTTGAATCATTCCTGGTACATTTACACTTGAAATAGTCGAGGCGTAAGTTATACATGTACGGGAATGAGACCAGGAGTGCACATTAGTGAGTATTGATGAAATGATGTTTTTATATAACACCGGAAGTAACCCCGTAATTATAATTACTTTGCATGTACATCTCACACTGGATGTATCCTGAACGTTACAGCTTTCACATAGCATTTATTAGATGCGATATGAACAAAAATTAATCTTGGTTGAAATACATAACTTTATTTTTCCATACTAGTAATCCTTCAGCGCGCCGAACTGTCATCGAATTATTTTATTTTGTCTTCATAGGCAATGCACAAATCATTGCTAAAAGGAACGCGCTACAATTTGACCAAAGACAGATAATGAACAAACATTCATATTTTTTTTGTATCAAGTAATTAAATTTGATAGCGAGGTTACATAACCGGGAGAGTAAACATTACTATACCGTTGTTGTGAAATGAAAACATCAACAAAGTCACGTGATAAACACGCAACGTTGGCGTGAACAAGCGAGAAATCACGAAGGTGACATCTCATGCCCATGTGAAGTTCAGTATCACTCAGCCAACGTCTTAAAAATACTTGTTTACTTGTTTCTATACATTTTACATCGTTCATGATGGTAATACTTTACTGCGAAAATCTAGACATTTCTTTAAATATAATTCTTCAAAACAGTTAAAATTCAAATACATTTCTTCTAATTCAGATACTCTCGCTTCCTTTTGTCTCATCAATATTTTAGAAATTAAAATCCGTGAAATACACACTCATTACACCCTGCCTGTTATGTCCGTAACGGATCGATTCACGTCCGTAACACTTTTTAAATGTCGGACTGTATAGTTATACATCCGTAAGTACAATGTACATATCACAGGATTTCAGCACTGAATTATCTTAATATGACTTTTATAGTCAATGTAAATGACAGAATTCGGCACCAAAGTCCTGTCATTTATAACGATCATAAATGCCATATTAAGGCAGTTTATCGCTTGTATTTACTTTTACTTGAAAAACACTACTGTCAATAATATATTAACGTAAGTGTTGCTGTTTGAAGATTTTACAACTTATATCGAACTTTTGATTTAGATAAAACGCTGTTGGTCTGATATTTGTAATCGGTGCAGTCCGTACTTTCCTTCTTTTTAATTCTCCAACATACGCCGGAAATGTCTTTCCGGTATGCCATTCGATAAAGACACCATTGCCTTTGTTTTAATCCCATTTCGAATGAGTATATAATCACACCATCCAATGTCATACTGTCGAATGCTCGCGGATGATGAAAACACCTCCTAAAGTCGTTCCCTCGCAACAATACTACGTTCTCAAGTAAAAATGTTTCGTTCCCTCGCAACAATATTACGTTCTCAAGAAAAAATATTTCGTTCCCTCGCAACAATATTACGTTCTCGACAAGTAGAAATATTTCGTTCCCTCGCAATGATATCAATAGTATAAATATTCATGAAAAATGTGATTTTTGTTCGCACATAATGATGGTTTTTACATCATGTCCGTTCACAACCACACGATATTTCGCGTGTGTTTGTAATCGTGTATTGTCACGCAATTGTTAATAGTTTTAATTTATACATGATCTGCATTACCAGGACCTCATGTTGAAAATGTAGTATTGAACTGTCTTATTATTGACTGACTGCTAAATAGTATTTGCCTGTAAAGCTCTGTCATTTATAATGACTATTAATGCCATATCAAGAGAGTTTGTCTGGTTTTATAGTTGTGTGAACGTAACGTGTTGGTTATATATTTGTATCCCTGTCAGTGACAAACTCGCTGTTTGTATGTAACAGTTTCTTTTATTTGTGAATATTTCTACATGGAAAAATAGAAATAATGAGAAACGTTTCATTATAAAACTTTATTGATGATTTATTGAACAGGTGCAAAATTCTCGAGTCAGTGTTTGAGCAATGCGGACTGTCCAGAAAATGCTGAATGTGTGATCCGGGGTTGTGAAGGCAGTATATGTCTGTGTAAATTGAAGTACATTCCTACAGACGACTACTCCAAGTGTATTAGAGGTAGGTATCTTAGTGATGCGGGGCTGTGATGGCTGTATCCCAGAGGTAGGTATCTTAGTGACCCGTGGCTGTGAGGGCTGTATTCCTGAGGTAGGTATCTTAGTGATGCGGGGCTGTCAGGGTATTGTCGGTGTGTGCAATGCCTAAATAGTATGCCAGAGCTAGGTGTTCTGAAGTCGACATGTAACCGAATCAGATCGCAATGCTCCATGTTTAAAGAATATTCGATAAGAAATATTAGTAGATGTATATGCAGTTGATGTCATTGTTTTATTGTTGTAATTTGAACTGATACTTTGTGTGGATCTGTATCGAACGAAAACCTATAAATAAAAAAAGGATCGTGCTTATTTAATGGAAGTAAAGATAATTTAACCACAACCAAGATATACCCTATCTTTACTTTCTCCCACATTTCCACGTTTGAATCAACGTGTAAATCCTATAGAATCCTGGTCAACATTAAATTTTACAAACATGATTTTAAATTAAACTAGTTTCAAACAAATTCAAAACAGAAAGCTAATCCACGATTAGTGCTGTCGATTTATCAGTATATAGAGAATCTCCCTTCAGCTTCGCAGTCAGCAGAGAACAAATAGCGTCACGGCCTCTTTAGCAAACAAACTGGTAGATAGCACGGGTATTCATTTACCTTGTCTAAATTTCACATCTATCTGGGCTCCTTACGAGTGTGGACCGGCAGTAAATATTTACTGCGGGATTACACCGGAACTTTGACGACGCCGTGCGAAAGCAATGTGTATTCGGTACTTAATTAGACTAGGGGCGAGGAAGAAGCGAGACACATGGACTTCGTTTTAATTTCAACTAATTATTGTGTAAGGAACATTTTAGCCCTTGTTAAACACTTAAAACGTTATCCTTAGCTTTTGAACTGATCCGAGATCAGCATTTATTTGCTTTGTGTCTGTTTTTTCTCTGTTTTGGTTACTATTCGTTTTTGTCAATTCTCAGTAATCTAGAGGTATAGCATGTGTACTTGAAGTCGACAAATGCAGCTATCAAATTATAAAAACAGCAGTATTTGATAAAATAAACAGTTTTCAGACTAAATCAAATCTGTATGATAGATGATTTTACTAATTAAAACAATTCATTTGAAAATTTATGCAAAATTACCTTAAAAAATACTTTCCTTTCAAATATCATAGAAAGTAAGGTTGTCGTCTTATTTCAAAACGATTGATCACCAAAAATTGTGTTAAACAACAGATCACTCAGTCTTATAAGAAACCAGCAGTCTCTCATTAGCAACAGTTGATATGCTGAGCTTTCTTCTCTTAGATAACAAAACTACATGACATTTCTCATCGTTTTGTATTCAGTGGCCGAACTGGATGAAACATGTGACGATACAAGTCGGTGTCGCGGTATACGAAGCCGCTGTGCCGACAATGGCGTCTGCCAGTGTCAGAGCGGGTACACCGTCACACAGAGAAACACTTCCGATCCTCTCCGAGACCAGAAACTCTGTAAGAAGGCCCTGACGGACTGGTCTTACGCATTGCTAGGAGAGACATGCAGTCCGCCCACGATTGTGTGTGAGGAGATAGAAACACAATGTGTCAACGGCATGTGCATGTGTAAAGAAAACTTCCGTGAAGCCAAACCAGAGGAACAAAATGCTTATCCTTTTAATTTCTTTCAGTGTGTCAAGAAAAACTTCAAATTGAGTAAGTTGTTATTCCTTTTCGTTTCGAAATTGAATAAATTCTTTCAGTTGTTGTCGTGAAATGAAGTCAGCTCTTTTCCCTTGTTTTCGTGAAATGAAGTAAGCGTTATTCACTTGTCGAGAATACAGTAAGCTATTTTCACTTGTTGACGTAAAATGAAGAAAGCTTTTTTCACTTGTTGTCGTGAAATGAGGTAAGCTCGTTTCCCATGTTGTCGTGAAATGAAGTAAGCTCTTTTCCCTTCCTGTCGTGAAATGAATTAAGCTATTTTTTCCTTGTTGTCATGAAATGATGTAAGCTCTTTTCCCTTGTGATGAAATGAAGTAAGCTATTTTCACTTGTTATCGTGAAAAAAATTATGCTCATTACGTTATTGTCGTGAATTTAAGTACGCTCATTACCTTATTGTCGTGAATTTAATTGAGCTCGCTACCCCTTTTGGTGTTGAAGTAAAGAAACTAGTTCGTTTCGTCGTTTGCTGTAAAATAAGTGAGTTCGTATCTCTTTTTGTGAACCTGCGAAAATGTATTTCACTGTTGTTAAAATGATGAAGTTCGCGTCGTTTTTGTTGTCGCTTGGAGAATGTTTGTGAAGTATGTACAATGTACCTTATTAGGTAAACATCTTATCTATAACGATACCATGAATATGAGACAGGCTGGGCGTCGCCAATCTTTTAATCTACTAGATATCATGCCCAAATAGAGATCATTGATTTTTAGCCTTCATGTTTCAAAGCATTTGACGACGGAACACAACGAGAAACCCAATCGAATATAAATATATACTATTTCTGTCTCTAAGTTTGATATCTCATAAATATTTTATTTTCATTGCGTGCTGTTTTTTTTTATTACAGATGTTTCCGTGGCGCCGAGCGAATGCAGTTTATATCCAAGTAATTACTTATCTTATGAAGCATGAAACATCGGACTTAAATTATCCAATTTTTTATACATTATGTGATGTAAGCCATACGTACATCCATCAAGTTCAGAATTAAATAAATAAATATTAAAATTTAGATTTGGCTGAACCCTTTTTTCATGAAACAAAAATGTGATATACAGAAATAATTATGACCATCACTGAATTAATACAATAATTTTGATTTCTTCTTTTCGCATATCATATTTTTCCTAATTTTAGACAATATAATTATCACTGTGAACACAGTTACGTAATATATTTTCTTTAATCCAAACAAAAATATACAGACGTTTTGCTGAATTCGCCCAATTATCAATACTTATACATCACCGCATTCCTCTATACCTGTTACGTTTAATTTGTTAAAAACAATTCGAATGCATCCACAGCACATTCCTTATCTGTATTATAGGAGTAGGTTCTTTTCGAAGGGGGCATCACAACATGACCCGAATTTTTGAGAATGTCGATAAAGGATGAATTATAGAGTTGTTTATTTTAACACATCAAAAAGGATTATTCTTGTTATTTTTCCCAAGCTCCGGCCCATCCTGCCACGAATACAGAGGTCTTGTCAACGACGACCACACCGCCATTATCAACCATCAACGGCTTAACTTCCGGCTTGTTGTTAGCATCACAAACGGCAACGGCGTCCATTTTAACTCCCTCTACACCAGCTTTTAAGCAAACTATGTCATCAGAGTCATTTGTAAGTTTGACAAACATGTCATCCTCATTATCGGCTCCATTCAATACGGAAGCTACCTTATCGAGCGTTATGCCGACGACGTCGAGGTTAACCTCGCCAACGACAGGTGAATTTCACACTGATGTTACGGCATCAACCACAGGTGGAATTGATTTGTTTGTAAGTACGCAAAGGATAGATACATCACGCACACTGGACATTTCACCAAGTTCAGAGATTTCTTTATCAGAAACAATGTTGTTTACACCAAGTTTAAACAGTAAACAAACACTGTCCTCACCGGCACTAACCGCAACGCCGATCAGAGTCACTGCTGACCATATTTCCACCCGAACAGTTACAGCTAAAACGTCAACTGTAATTACATCCAATCAGTTACAAATTGAATCCTCCCGCATGTCTGTCCCTACACCGGACTCTTCATCAAGGGCGACAACTCATCCTTTGGATTCTACGTTACTAGTGACATCTATAAAAAATACGTCTCCAAAGTCATCTGAAATCGTTCACGTAACGACCGAATATCAGTTCAGTACGGTTGTCAAAAGTACTCATAGTAACACTGCGGCAAATGTTGCTTCAATCACGCCTACAAGTGTAATAATGACTCAATCGAACCGTTTACCTATTGCTTCGTCTACAAGTGTGTACTCAACATCCTCGTCTAATTTTGCTCTGTCCTCCAAATCACCTTCTACCCCGGGAACATCCGTTATTTCTACAACACCAATAGTTGGTAAGTTTGATGAAACTTAACATTAAAGATTAACTAGTTAAACTTAACATTTTAAACTAGATATCAACTTAATTCTAATGCATAGATATTTTATTGCAATTAATGCGAAGCTCAAGAGAACAAACATGCTGTAATGAATTCAATTGCATTTTCAAATTCTATGTTTACGTCATTTTAGGCTTGATTGGCCAGGTTTGTCTCAGAGGTCACGTTTGTCCCTCGAATTCCAAGTGTGAAATTGACCTTTGCGGAGACAATAGATGTCGCTGTTCACTGGGCTATATCGTTGACAATGGCGGAACAGAGTGCATACCACGTGAGTAAATCTATTTGCACGTGACCGTCACGTGAATGAATTCGAACGGTAAAGAATCACAGTTCGTGAATAGAGATGACAATAGTGTCACATGATTGGAGATTATCTATAATTCACTGTATGTGATATAAGACAAGGAGAAATAATGTAATTGTTTGTCATTTCAAATTGTCACATTTACAACAATAACATTATATCATAAATGACTTCGTAAGAGTAGAATAAGGATTAAATGACGTTAGGTACAGAAGACTACATCAAAGTTCGTGTTTATATGTATATATCATGTAATTACTATATATCACACATAACTTAATATAACGTAATTGAAAATTATTGCCAAAGTTGTCAGCAAAGTATCACAGCTTCTTTTTTCCAGTTTCATCTCTCGGATCTGCGTGCAAGTCCGACGTGCAATGCATTGGACCAAACACGAGATGTCACAATCACGCGTGCACATGTCAGTCAGATTATATTTTGAATAATGACAAAACACGCTGTAAACGAGACACTACGTGGTTTGTAGCCTTCCCATTGCTGCATGGGAAATGTAGGCACTTCTTTGCGGATTGTTACAATGATTTTGAACAAGAGTGCTCCGCCGGAAGATGCAAATGTAAACAAGGTTTAAGGGAAGCTTCTACAGGCGACATTTACACTAAGCACAAAAGCTACTCTCAGTGTCGGAACGCGACACTTCCAACAGGTAGTAACATCATTTGTATAATGATTTCTCTCGTGTTAACTTATGATTTACCAGCAGGTTTTTGCTTGTTTGTTTGCTATTTTATTTATCATATTCCCTTTATTTTGATTTATTTTGATTGAAAGGTGGTCGTTTTACAGGCCAGTTCTAATTATTAGAAAGAATTCATACATGTGCATTTGGATTTAAATGTTAAAAAGTCGATTTTTATCACTGACGTGAATAACTTGCCTATGAATGATTGACGCTAGTGGTTAATGCGGACTTCGGGTGCCTTAATGGTCCATGTGAGGTTTAAAAATTGATGTTTAAAGAACGACTGGCGTAAACCTTTTAAATGTTTTTTCTTTAGTTATATTCGCCGGATTTAAACAAAAGAACCCATATAAACTTAACAAGTGTTAAACAGAAACAGGGTCAACACGTTATAATTTTCATAGTGTACAGTTTAAGTACGTGCACATGAATGTTACATTTTGTGGGAAACGCCATCAAACACAATGATGATTACAAAAATTAGATGGCCTTACACATTTGCTGTGCACATGTAACATAGTACATAGTTTACAGTGTTCGTGACATTTTTACATGAAAATATGAATTGCGTTCATGACATATTTTACATTACAATATCAATTGCGTTCATGGCATATTTTACATGTCGATGTGAGCTTTATTTTGATGGTATATGTTTTAAATTTTATTTTTAGCATTGCACGTCATTTGTTTTTCTCATGTAGTATCAATGATGTTTTTACATAAGAAAATGCACTATAATTTTGTATGATGTTTGCTCTCCATTGATTTGAAAATCTGGCACGTGACGCAATGACAATTTTTTGTTGCTGGTTATAGACTTCAGACCCCAAGCCGACTGTGAAGGGGATTTGATAGAAACGGAACTGGATCCTGCAACGAAGGAGGCACAGCACAGTAAGTAATCGGTGTTGCCATGGAAAGAGTGGCAATTGTACGTTTTTGACAACTGGGATATTGTAGTACTAAAGTAAGCTAAAGCAAAATATCCACGTCCTGCTTTTGTGTTTTTTGTACAATCCTCGATAGTGTAGGTGGTAGACACTGCTGGCAGACTTATAGTCTCAAAGGTTTGACGTAATCTGCATGCCAAGTTTTTATTCGTTCGAACAGTGGCAAGATTCAGTGTATACATAATAATTGCCGTTGTTCTTATCAAATATATATAAATTATTATCTAGATTTTGATATTTCTTTCCACCATTTTGGATCTTTTTAGTTGCCAACTAGGTTTCAAAATTTGGGCCCTTAGTGTCCTGAAAGGATAAAACACCTGTATGATGCGATATAGTTGGACGTGTCTGATTTGGCAACGTTACTTTCTTTACCTGGAATGTCCAGGATTTACATGGCGGTTGTCGTCGATGATACAGCAGACCCTTCCGTCACACCTGGTCTTATTTACCTTGTACATTTTAAATAGTCTCTGTTTTAATGTTTCATCGAATTTGTGCTTGAATAAAAATTCCGTTAACATGTCTGTATTTTCTTGGTTGTTTTGAATTCATTATTTGACTCTACTGTATCTTATTCAAAATTCATATTGAAAAGTATAAAAAGATGCTATTGCTTTGTATCATTTTTTTAGAAATCAGATTAGCATCAACCTATTGAAGAGATTGTTTCTTATGTAAGCTAACGTATTCGTTTCCATCACGACTACCCGTACGGCACAATGAATGTTGTATGTCTCTATCTGTCGTTAAAGAACTACAGATATCGTACTGGAATAGACCAAAGTTTTACAACGGTTAAATCTAACTTTGGTTCGTGACGGGGCCAGTATCCATTGCCAAAACAGACATTATGTGTTGGTACTGTATCAATAACATGTCCGAGAAACACCAGAACGAAAATAATCCGTAAATCAAAGTAGACTGTTATGGATGAGTGTATCGAAGTGAAACTGCAGAATAAGGACCGGGTATGTATATTAATTCTGACTTTCTTTCCAGAAATCAAAGTGATGAAGGGAGCAATAATTGGAGGGATCTGTGGGTTCGTCTTCCTTCTGGGGTCGGCTGTAGCGACCATACTGCTAGTACGACACAAACGAAGGTGAGGTCACAACAAACTCGAATTTTGTCAGACTTACAAAAAAATCAATAATATTAGTATGATATTTGGGATGGGAAAATAATATTTGAAGTAGTATTTATTCTTGCTGTGTCTTTTGAGGTTCTTGGTGGAGAAAAAATCTTTCCTGCTTTCATATCTCCCCTTGTTTTATAAAGTCTGAGTAAAGGGTAAATTGTCAAGATATATATAAGTGAATTTTTAATCAAGAAATACTACAACTGTTCTTAGTGGATACTTCTCCCGTTTGATATGATTTGAATAATACTAAATACATCCGTGTACCAATGATACATAAAAGAAAATTAACACTTGTATCCAATCGTATGTTACAGGACAAGAATTCGCCATATAAGGACAGACACAACATCTCTGAATTCCTTCGATCGAAGGTCAAGCGGAAAGTATTCATTCCGACTTCCTCGGCCTTTTTCATTTGATCTTGGTAAAGACAAGGAATGGGAGGCAGAACATCTCTCGGTCCATAATTCGGAGTTTGAACCAGCAACAGACTGTGACACGGTTCTCACTTTAAAGGACTCTGATACTCCACCTATGAATGGAACATTTTCAAATCCAGTTGAGGTTTCAGACAGTCCTCATACACCGGACACAAGATGATACTAAACTTTACTATATATTGATATTTTTCCAGCTTTTGAAGTTTCCATTATATCAGAACAGAACTTTCGACAAAATTTTGTCAATTGGTTTTCTTGAATTCATTTGAAATTCATTTTCAATAATTCCTACGAATTCATTACATATGCAATGATAAGTATATACTGAAATAGGTTTTCAGTTAAAAAATATACATCGTACGTACGAGACAATTACTTACATATTGAAGCTAGGAAAAATAATGCCATTTGCCTATTCGAGGGAGTGTGAAAGGACATTTCTTCTATACTGCTGTATATACCATCATTTGTAATATTTAATATACAAATCTGTAATACATTATATGTAAATATTCGAATATTCTGTGTCCATATTTATCTAATCCATGTATCTTTGAACTTGTATGAGGATACGTGAAAGTAAATATTCCAGAAATTGAAATTGTTTTTTAAAACATTATATATGGAGACGGACATTAAAATAATGTCTAACAAAGATATAATAGAAGCAGTCAATGCATTTACATTACTCCACTGGCTTAGCAAATCCTTTTCATGGCGGCTCTCTGTACGGTAATTGAATTTCCTTGGCCTGACAATTCTGTACTTTTGTGATAACAAAAGATATACAGCAATGCCGATATATTTCGAATATGTAGTTTTTTTATTGATGATAATCATGATGAAATTACGAACATTACAATAGTGTATGTAGTGTGCAAAGCTAAATAATCATAGGAAAAACAGGTACTCTCTCAAAAAACCAAATACACTCCTCCACAACCCTACCAAGTGTTTAGAGAATAAATTTTGGTTTACCAGGTAATGAATGACTCGTTAAATGAAGCTTGAATTGGAATGGTGCTCTGTAACAAATATTAAATCAGATTTGTTCGATTGATCAATTTTGTTCGAGCACATAACGATTGTATCCTCCACAACGTATCGTACCTTATTCCATATAGTGTTTATTTAGCCTAAGCATGCATGTACGTACTTATACCGAACAGATGGTTGAATTCCATTTTGTTACGATTATTCACGTAATAAAATCATTCATTTTTTCATCGTTATACATTCCATAGCTACTGCTGATCACTGTTTGTGTACATTTAAATGTTTGTAATATTTCTTATCAGATTAAAAGATAGGTCAAAGTGAGTCTTGGCTTTTTTCTGTATTAATGTATTATTGTAAGCTAAATACCTGCTGTCCTTTTCCATCTATCGTATAATTGTGGTTGCAGGATTATTTAAAGAAATAATCGCCCAATGTGGAGTCGTAATTGCCAAACAAAATCGATATAACAAGAGCAAATTATCCGATAAAGAAACACTTGCACACATATCAATAGCAAAGTTCATGGAAAGTAAGGATTGCTGCGGAAGGGTAAGCGTCGTATACTCCATCCATGACTGACATCAGTCACGTAGATAATTCAGGATTATTTCCCAACATCTCAGTCCTCTGTAATGTTTATGACGCTTTTATGTTTAAAGACACAAGCAATGAATACACATGCATTTATAAATGTACTTAATATGTCATACAATGATATGTCCATATCACACAAAAATGAGGAATCGGTTTCAGAGACGAATTTCAAAACCGAGATAAATGGATTAAAAAATATTATTGTGTAAGAACCTTACACGAACAGATTATAAACGAAATGATAAACGCAATATAAACCATCGAACACATCGTCAAACCTCGTTGTTACAGGATTTCAATGTGGTGATTCTACATATATTATATTAATGTTTCGTTCTCAGTCTTTTATTTTCCCCCGATGTGAATGACGTTTTGAAAACTTCAAATCAACTGACCGTACTAATGTTTTAATTGAACAACGGGTAAATATTGAGTGAAAATTTATATCGTAAAATAGCGCCTGTTTTTGTTGTATTCACGTTACTTTTCATTCCTCTCTATAGGAATTCAATATGTATACCAAATACAAGGTCAAACCCTTAATCTTTACGTAATTTACAGTTCTGCAAAAAGCTGCCGAACGAAACTCCTGGCGCGTAGAAATAGCGTGAAAAATATTGCAAAAGAACAGCAATACTCACTTCCAATATATAAACTCTGAATACATGTCCAAGAAAAATAGGAAAATATACCCTAGATATAGTGTAAGTACATACAGATATATAAAAAAATACGGTAAGCTCGGTTCAATTACATTTTGTAATTGTAATTGTAAAAGAAAATAAATGAATTGACAATACGGAGTTTCAGGTTAGTGAAAGCTTGTTTAAATCGTATGTCGTGGCTTGTGTAGACAAAAGATTTGTTGAACCAGACTGTCAAAACCTACGACATTTTTAAGTATTGATTTTTTCGAATTACTGTTAAGATTGTATTTTTACAGTGTGGCCTCGTAATTGTTATGATACAGAGGGATGTTATGTATGTATGAACACATCGATCTGGCCCGAGTAGAGACACTTTACACTACAAGTTATGTTGAAGACACCTCTTCCATTGATTGATATTACCTTTGTCTGTAACTGTTTTTCTATTATTGTCAGGATCTCTCTACCTTGTCTGACCTCCATCCAAGGCGTTTTTGCTTTTTTCTTTTTCAACTCCCACTCCCTCTTCAGATTTAAATGGCTGCAAGACCCCTTTTCTCAATAAAGGACCATTCTCATGAAGAAGACATGCCGGCCAGACGACATAATCGACCATGTTCCCCGACTGAGTGTACGGTGTATACAGGTCTGTAAGGAACGGTGTACCTCTCGCCGGGCTTGACGTCAGCGACAATGGCGGAGTCTGGACATTCATATACCACGTGACTTTAGCACATTCTTTATAGAATGCATTCATTGCCTTCTGGTTGTTAGGAGGAACTTTCCGCTTTTTTCCTTCTATGAAGCACTGTTGAGAAAGCAAAAAGCTTGGTAATACACCTGATAAATACGAATACATATGGAACCATGAAGTATTGTCATGTATGTCAGATTGTGGTAACGATATCGGTAATAACTTCTTCTTGCGTTCATGATTTGGTAATACACATCTCAGAGTGCAGGTTAGGGTTTTACGAACAGCTATCAAAAGAGTTCGGTCAACGAAAACCTTACTGATGATTTTAAGAGGACCGTTGTATGAGAATTAAACACATCGATGACACTGACACTTTTATCTTCCCCTCGAGAAAAGCTTCTTTGACTAGTAACTAACAAGAGCAAGGGACCACGAAAACTCAACATCATGTGAAGATCCCAGGTGCCCGTGGCTGTTTTTCATGAAACTGTGAACCAGACCGGTCAGTGTTGCAGTGGTTGTATCTATGGGTAAAGTGACATGTGACAGATCTCGCCTCAAAAATAACCCGGGTTTTTGTGCGATAAACTCAACAAAACTAACAAGGGCGCAATCGATATGTAGTGAATAATTGATAATGTCAGCGACCGAAGGTTTGGAAAGAAGGCGAAAAATAAAAAAACGAAATTTGAAAAGTATTTTTTCCCATGTTCTAATAATTTGTTAATTTCTTTAATTATCGAATGACGATTAAATGCATTTTGCACCCACTGCTTACTTAAGAAACTATAAACATTACCGTCTTAGTATAAATGGACTACTTCGGTTTCTCTAGACTTTCATAGACGCATTTTCACATATTCAAAAGTAACATGTAAGGACTGCGACTTTTATCACTAATGTGACAAAGCTGTATTAAAAAATAGCAACAATTAGATCATATTGTCAGTATGTTAGGTCGCCTGAGTGTCGCTTAAATACAGGCATATATCAAGTAATTTTGAAACTACACTTATACTGTATTTTCTATCATTGTGGAAATGTGAGAGGATACCAAAACCTCCATTCATAACACAAACAAAGCCATTGTAATGGCACCATTATCAATACTTCATAAAAAAATCATTTCAATTTGTCCAGCAAAGCTACATTGCTTAGTTTAAGATCAGGTAACAGTAGCATTAAGTGACCATTTGAAAGATAATGTTTAAAACTAAAAATACATGGACGATAATGCTTACCATTTGTACTTCTTCAACGTGTGCTGGAGCTGATGTTTTCCTTAGTTGTCGCAGAAGATCTTTACATTCTTCAGACAGAACTTTCGTTGGAATTGGCTTCTAAAAAATTGGGGTTTTTTTATAGAATAATTGCATTGATTTAAAAATTATTTGCTACATGTGACAAAAGTGAATGTTCTTATCGACATTAAGAGAAGATACTGTTCTGCATGGCAGGGTAAGAACGTTTCTTTTTTAATGAAAAATTTAAAATGATGTTTATATATAGAGCTCTGACAAACTTTATTTTGTGTCAAGAACACCGATTCATTATGGAGTCGATGACGTTGGTGTTATCATTAAACAAATAATCCCTTTTCAATATAAATTAAAATAAAACAAAAAGACAACATGGAATGACCACTAATATGTATTTACATATTACTATGAAAATTACATTTAATTATCAAGCGTTTGATTAATTATACCCACGTACCTGTTCAACTGTGATTCTGTTTCCTGCAGGATGTTGCAGATTTCGAACAGGAACGGTTTTTGCCGTATGACTTTGATGGTTTTGCCCGCCGGCTTTCTGACTCCCTTCTTTTTGATATGGCAAAATCTTTGTGCTGAATTCCAGATGTTCCATGTACTGTCTTGACAAGTCCGACGTAAATTCAAAACTGTCCTGAGAGATAGATGATAACAAATGGGATACACTCAATATTGTGAATACGTAGATGTATATCTCAATGCAATAGTAGCACAATACAGATTGCCTTTACGAATTTCTATACCGTTTAAGTTATTTAATCGTACATTCTTCTGTTAAGTCTAGCTACCAGTTCCTAAGGTTTTGCAGAATTTTTACATTAGCCTATATTCCCCTAACTGAAACCGCCTGCTCTAGAGACAGGGACCAGGCTAGAGTCTATTGAATAGGCAGGGATATATCAAACCGAGTGTAAGAGTTTGGCGGAAAGCAAGTAGTTTATCCATTGGTTTGTGATATCGCTGTTCACGGAATAAAACCAGTAGAGTCGAGGTAACCTACATAGAACGATGACGCGACCCTATTTTAAGTAACATCATAGCACGTGCTATCTAACATATCCTAGGTGGCCACAGAGAACTCTCAAACAGGTAAAACGGGAAACAAATATGTGAAATGTCGCATATGTCTAGATTCAGAGTGCAAGTTCAGATCATAGATGATAACATTAACTCATAATTAATTAACAGCCAGTGAATACAGTTTCAATACTAACATAAACAGTGTTATTTAAGATCTGTATCGCTGTAATCTCTGGATATCCCTGATCTTTCAGTTCTTCAAACGCGTCTGTCCACTGGTTATCGTACAACTCTTTGTAAAGCTCGGCAATCTTAGTCGGTCTGATGGCGCTACTCAGGTCAGTTATGGCTGCGTTGTTTTCACGTAATTTGTGTCCCGCTACTTCACTTAATCTGAACGTAAAAAGAAAACATAGCTATTTTTCACATTTTCCGAACAATCCCCCCTTTGTCAACTGCAATTATCAAATGATATCAAAAATATGCAATACAAAAAATGATAGTTTACGTTTCTGCACAAGAATATGTGATTGTGTCATCTAATATTTTCAAATATGTTTTCAAAAAGAATTCTTGTGAACTTTGAATTTTTCCATTGGTTTCACCGATGTCTGTTGTTATCCAGAATTGAATGCTAGCAAAAATGTTGTGAAATATGTATTTTGATGAAATGCATAGTCAAGTTAGAACCACTTATTGTATACCTTTAGACAAAATAATCAATAGTTTCCAATTCAGTGAATACCGAAAAGACTCCATTGAGATAAGTGACTGTTATATGATAATACGAATAACTTTTTATTGGTCATTTCTGTAAATGTACATATGACTTTAACGAGAAAAACATCATTCGATACCATTGTAAACTTCAAATCATGATTCCATTAAAATTTCTCTCCCTGGTTCACAGTGGACGAAACTTTAATCTTCCAAAGGAATATTAGGAAACTAATATATGTAAGTTTAGAATATACAATGGATCTGGTCGTAGTTTTATATTATTATTATTACTACTATTACAAGCGTTAATAAGTATTTATGTATAAGTGCACCTTTGTCTTAGAAATAACATTTTTAAAGTATCCAAATATTGGCCGAGAGGGCTGGTAAAGTGTCATATGGCTGCGCTCCGAACCCCCAGCCAAGACTGAATCTTTGTTTAAATCTATCTTATACCACATTATGTACTATTTGCTCCTCAGTGCATAAGTAACTGACATATCGATAGCATGCTACTTAAGGAGAAAGTAGCCGGTTAATTTCTGGAATAACGTTTAGAAGCTTTGCAATACTGACTCGTTCAAACGCTTAAATGATTTAGTGCATGATGTAACATTTCAAACATAATGGCGACCTTTACAGATCATCGAACTAAGTTAACATATACTCGGATCGGTTGTTATATTATCGCTGTGATATTGAACATAACATTAGTTTTATTACATTACTACTTTGATTATTATTTTTATCTAAAATATCCTATAACAAAAGAACAGGCAATATTCTTTAACGGATAACTGTAAAAGTTCATATCTTACATGTTACAATAATCTTAATTTAGCTCTAAAATATGATCGCGCGAATTACATCACAGAGATAGAAATAATGACGAACGCGCGAATTCAGAATGGCGCGTATTTGTGGTATTACGTTCACAGTGTATTGCGCCAAAATAGGTACGTTTACAGTGATGGAATTCAAACTATTTAACGACATTTGCAAATACGCAACACAAACCTGTTTAAAAGCTCCTGTTTTTCTCTTGTTATCGTGTTAATCATTGCGTGTTGTTCTTTAGTTTCTTTTTCTAATCCGTTTATTATTGCTCTCTGTTGTTGTACAGTTTTGTTGTTTTCCATAATTTCGGCTACCTTCGAATCATATCTCATCTGTAGCTTGGAAACTTCTCGTTGAAGCTCTTCAATCCTCTTTGCTAAGCTGTCATGTTTTGCTTCTGCTGTTGTTGATGCTACAATCGGCTGTTGTTCCTTATCTCTTTGATCACCTACCACCATCTGCGGTGTTGTCTTTTGCTGTCGTTCAGTCTCACGTGGCAAAAGCTTTTGCTGGAGTTCAAAACTGATTCTTGTCATAAATATCTATACTATTTACAAAATATGGTAATGAAAACGGCATTGGATAGTATTCAATCATAAGCACCTTTTAAAAATCAATATACTGTGTTTAGTAATCAATTAACGTGATCAATGCATCCGTCACCACCATTAAGAATTATACAGAAAATCAACTTCCTCACTTAACCTATGAGTATTGCCAATAACCAGAAATGTAATATGTAAACCAACGGACGACTTACGGGGAGTTGAACAGTTTTGCACTGCCTTTTAAATGGTCAATTTCATTTTCAAAATATTTTACTGGAACATTTTCGTGGACTATTGCGTGGGAAAAAATTGATTCCCGGAATTAAGCATGGATTACATGGTATATATTTCAAATCGATTATATATATTATATATATATCATTCCATTACAAAGGGTTGAAGACATCAAAAAAATATGGAAAGCTAAATATTTCCGGAGTTTGTGTTTTGTGTACAATGTATTTCACTAAATACTTATAAGAACGTTCCGTTTTTAATGAATTAAATAAATAATGACACAAAACAAAAACCGCTGTATTGTGACGTCACAATGATTTCGTCACCCATTCTTGCATGTTTCAGGGATGTTCCTATTACTGGATTGACTCCATTGTATAAGATGAGGGTTTTCATATTGTACAAGCTATTGTTTGTAATGTAAATATATAAATAACAGTTTTTAAAAATAATTTTGGCAAAATAATTGCAACATGTTCATCTAGCAAAATGTACATTTTTATGGGGTTTGCAAGTAGAGCACATACAATTTGATCGACTTTAGGGAAAAAATCATTACTGAAGTGAAGATATTGAATTTCATTTGAATGAAATCAGACTAAACCAGATGGGACACTGTAATCGGCTAAAGTATTTCACAGCAAATTCAGAGACAAATCTGCTGACACCGTTTGTTAGGAATAAGATAACCGTTTGATTCATTCAGAGTTAGGTTTGGAATTGAAAAAGTGGAATGAAAAGCTGACTAATAAAATGGACTACACTGTATAAGACATTTACAAATAACTCATACCTCCCAGTTCTGAATTTGAGACAGAATCATGTTTAAACGGTCCTCTAAGTCTGGAGTTGCATTATATGCGGTCTCGCCACTTAAAATCTTATTTACATATTTCTGCCATTTTTGTATTTTCTTGTCCATATCATCTGACATACACTCATCCAGTGCTTTCAGGAAGTCTCCGTTAACCTTACATGGTTTATAACCAAACGTTTTCTGAAAAGAATCAATTTGTGGTTTTTACTTATTGTTCAATCAATAAGAGGCCTACCATGTCTGAAATAATAAAATCAGTTGTACGACTAAAATAGTGTGTAGAGATCGTGATGCTTGATCACAAAAAGATAAACACACACCACACATACATATACACATACATGCATACACACACACGCGCGCACATCACAAACCAAATCATTACAACCGCCACATGTTTTCTGCAAGTAAATTGTCGTTAGAAAAGGAGTAAAGTGTAATTTAGAATCTATCCAGAAACAAGAGGAAGTTAAGAGTAATTCTCAAATAGCAATCTTCGGATTCTGTTGTTTTGTGGCATTAATTAGCTGTTTTGAATTCTACGACATACGATGTGTATATAGATTTTTTCGTCTACGCTTTCATTTTGGCCTAATTGGCATCCTTTCTCGTATGATGTTTACACGTTGCAGCGGGAAAAATAACTTCTAGAACACCGTGACACAATCTTTGGTGTCAAATTATATGACAATAAAATTTACCTGAAATGCCCTGACATGATTTGACATTTGGGACAACATGTCCAGCAAGCGACGTCGCTGTTTGTCCTGTTCCATTGTTTTCCTGTCTGCCTGAAAGCTCCAAACGTCTTTCTTCCATTGTTCAAGTCTTGGTTTCATTGCTTCTTTTATGAACGAAATAACTGACATGCTTTTAGCATTCATTGTGTCAGTCAGATGTCCATGACGTCTAGAAAACGCCATCTCCGCTGTCTTAAAGCTGAGTATCTTTCAATTCTTTGGTATCCTGCTAACAGTTACCATTTCTACACTGTAATTTTGACAATATTGAATATGCTATTATTAAGTATATAAATGTTCCTTAAAAAGATATTTTATTCTATTATACCTTAATGCAAAACCACTGTCATATATTAATTCTATTGATTTTTATTGTACTTTATATAATCTATTTCATATTTGATATATAGGAATTTATCCATTCGATAAAATTTAGTAGTGATATAACTTTTGTATTTTTTACCAACCACAACAGTGTTTTCTAGTCTCTACACTGAAAGAGGCTGACCGATTTTCCTGTTCGAAATATTTTATCACGACTGTCCCCTGTTTTTTTCCCTTAAAATATTTTTGAAATAGAAACTATAATGTTTTCCCTTGAAATACCATATATTTATCATCTATATGATAATATATATCTATAGATATTGAATAGGAAATCATTAAACCGTTTAGTATTTTCTATAAATCAATAAATTGTTTTTGGTCGGATCTCCTAAATATTGCCGTATAAACTGACCGCCAGTTAGTTGTCCAGTATAACCTGACCGCCAGTTAGTTGTCCAGTATAACCTGACTGCCAGGTAGTTGTCCAGTATAACCAGGCCGCCAGTAAGTTGTCCAGGATAACCTGACCGCCAGTTAGTTTTCGAGTATAACGTTACCATAAGTTAGTTGTCCAGTATAACCTGACCGCCAGTTAGTTTTCCAGTATAACGTTGCCATGAGTTAGTTGTCCAGTATAACCTGACCGCGGTTAGTTATCCAGTATAATCTGACCGCCAGTTAGTTTTCGAGTATAACGTTACCATAAGTTAGTTGTCCAGTATAACCTGACCGCGGTTAGTTATCCAGTATAACCTGACCGTCAGTTAGTTTTCGAGTATAACGTTACCATGAATTAGTTGTCCAGTATAACCTGACCGCGAGTTTAGTTTTCCAGTGTAACCTAACCGTGTCCAAGAAAGATGTGAGTTTGTGTTGAGGTCAACCTTATCGTAAGTTACTTTGCATTTCCGAGTTACAAAAATACTCTTTTGATTTATACAAGTATACAAACCGGATGTTTGTTTCTACTTATAGAAGGCTGACACAGTTTTTGGTGGTATCCTTATGACTCCTTTACACCATATCAAGTTCTCAAACAATCAGAATCTTAAACACATTTCAATGATAAAATTAACCAGTGTTTTCATCAACAAAAGATGCCCACGACATTTGTCCTTTTGTTTTCGCTTATAATGGTTTATATTGGATGACGTAATCTATTTATAGCACAATGTCACGCATCATGAATCAACATGAGTTCCATATAACAAACACAAATTACAAAGTAGACAGACATGTTAGATTAGATCTGCTGATAAAACTGAATTCATTAGAGTCAATAATTACCTGTACTTGCAGAAGATATCGAATTTCGCGTGACGTTTCGTGTAGACTGACTGAAACCGTCAGGTATCGGTTGCCTTCTTCAGCAGTCGTTTGACAGCTTTCGTCTGTGCGAGTGAGCCCTAGATTTCCGCGAACTGTTAAAATCTTCCTGGTAATTATTGAAAGTTTCGAAAGATCAGATGTTATCAATCATGTGTAGCGGATGTCGGCAAATTCATATCAGTTCAAATTACGACAAGCTGTATCAAGTAATGATTAAAAAGGACGAAAAAAATGTTATCGAAGATGACAAGTTATTTGACATAGTTAGACCAGACACATGTTAGCAGTGGTACAAATGACATGTGAAACACTGATAACGTCTTGATATACTTTGCGAATGGTATACATGTTTATACGAAAATGTATGTAGCATACATGTAAATAAGGATTTATGATATTTAATTTAAACGAATCTTAGAATTTTTAGTTTAAGCGAGTTCCTGGCAAGCTGAAATAAAATATAAGAAAACGGAAAGGAATTTCATAAAATATTTATCAAATGAAAACGGATTAAAGGTCCTCTTTATCACATTACCGTTTATACGGGCAAATATTGCAGAAAACGGACGTTTCTTAAAGTTATATTCTAAGGCGTATGAAACTAAACATCGGTAGAATTATTGTCAAAATCTTTAGATGGGGAGTTGTCTGAAAAGCCAAATTTATCTGTGAAGCAAATTTGATCTGTACATTACGTTATACGGTAAGGGAACGAGACGAACTTCACCATCCTATCTGGAGTTGCCTCCCCTCACGTGATATATCTGCAGAAAAGTGAAATGAAACTTTATATGTTTTACAATTGTGAAACATGTTCCGAATTATAATAATCATCCTTATTGACCCGGACGGAAATGCTCATAAAGTTTTAATGGTAGAGGAAACCAGAGGGCCCTGGGAAAACCCACGTAGTTAGGCAGGTGACGCATACATTTTCAGTTTTCGGAGACTCGAACCCCGGACGTCAGGGTGGGAGGCTGGTCTTAAAACTATATATTCAGATCAGAGTTTAAAAGAATTAGTATCTTGAATATGGATCAGTGGGTTATTGCCTAGTTCATGATTACAAACACATGCAGTTTGCCTCCGATGATTATCCAATCGGGATCGAAAGTTTTGATTGTTGGCGACGCTACAACGGCATTAGGGAGTGAATTCCAGTGGTTTACAACCCGTTCACAGAAAGAATACTTCCTCAGATTTAGTCTGCTCCTTCTTTTTAATAGTGGAAAACTGTGCCCTCTTGTTATATTGTTATTGTTTTTATACAGAAATCCTCCGCGACAGCCCTATCATATCCTCCATGTGTTAGTTTGTATACTTGAGTCAAATCTCCTCTCAATCTTCTGTGCCTCTGCGTCGGTAATTTAAGGATCCCTAGTCTACTTCCATAGTTTAGGTCTTTCATTCCTGGTATTTTGCTCGTTGCTCTTCTTTGCATATTTTCCAACTCATTTATGTCTTTTTGCAGATAGGGATTCCACACGCAGGCCCCATATTCCAGGTACGGAAGTACAAGAGCTTTATATAAAAGACAGGACGACTTTTTGTCTAAGTACGTATATGTTCTTTGGATGGTTCCCATTATTCTATTGGCTTTATTGACTTCATCATGAATATGTTTGTTGAAATTAAGGTTGTTGTCTGTTATGATTCCAATGTCCTTTTCTTTGTTACCTGATCTAATGTAACCTCTACTCTTCCATTTCCCTCGTCTCTATGTAAGTTTAGCGGTGTAAAATTTTGCATTTTGTCCAGTTGAAATTTCAAGAGCCATTTATCAGACCATTGTTGAAGCGTATCTAAATCTTTCTGGAGTTCAGTTATCGTTATGACTGTAATTTTTTGTATCCTCTGTAAATAAATATGTCCTTGCGTTAATAGTTTCCGGAAGATCATTGATGTAAACTACCAAAAGGAATGGACCTAACACGTGTAGTAGTGTCATTATTTGACAATATTGCTTTTAACATATTCCCGGTGTTTTAGCTGTGTGCGTTCGTATGTAACGGAAATCAGCCTACCGTAAATATTGTACGTGGCGCATTGCGGCAAAACTTTTAGCACGCACGCGCGGAAATAGCACGTGAGAATGCGAGTGAGATACTGAGCAGATGTGATGTAATGAGTAGTAAACCTGTTTGTCCAGTAAGTATTGTCTATGTATAGTAATTAAGTGTTGAATGTTGGGTAGTTTTACCTGGCGCACTGGTCACTTTTGGATAGAGCGCTCAGAGCTTCAACATCGTCGAAGTGTGATAATAGCCAGCCTAGCGACCATGAGAGGTAGCGGCACTAGAGCCTAACATTGTAAACGTAAGTACTATGTGTAAAATATTAACGTAATTTAATATAGTATCTATCTACTATTATATTTGATTAGGGGCATATTTTTGTTTAAAAGTAAAGTTGATATTTTGGAAGTGTGTTAATTAAAATATCGGGCGTGGTCGATTTAATAGACAGGTGAATCCGAAGAAGCATAGTTTTTATGTGTGTATTGTTTTATTTATAGTGTGTACTGAACGAGTCAGTCTGAGGGCTCGGTGGACCTAATTCCGAGAAAACCCTCTTCACACTGAAGAGGTGGACATTTTTTATATATGTAGTATAATTGGATACCAACTGTTATTTCTATATAATTTGTAGATTGATTTTACAGTTGTAATGAATATATATGTATATTCAGTATTTCAAACTAATGTAACTGACTACGGTCAGAGTGATCTGGATATATGGTTATATTATATAGTTATCGTATGATTGTGTAGGTATTGTAGTAATATGATGTATTTCATGTTACAGGTTTTTTTTATTGTATTAATAAAACTGTGAAGAAAAAGGACCCAGGAGTTGTTTTGATGAGGTTAAAGACAACTACTGCACACGTTTCCTGTGGGATCCCACAACAACACAATCGATTGGCAAACAAACTAAAAAGCATAAAGTTTATGAGATCACTATGACGACTGTAAAACTTCCCATAATTTTCATCAACCTGTATATTTCGAATCCCTGTGTTATGAGTTTGTCAGTTGTCGACATTTTGCAAAAAACTCGTGATACCGGGAACGGACCCTTGATCATTTTGTAAGCTTCTTATCCTGTACAAATGTCAAGAAGTTGAGATCAATAAACACAACATTACAAATATGAATTGGTACAAAGTTTAACTGTACGTGTATTTGACATTAATTAACAGTACTTTTATCTAAACAGTCCTTGTATTTAAACTTAACTTGACAACAATATCATTAATTGCAGCCAGATATTATCAATCACCAACGTTTGCTACCTTCCGATTAAATCTAGATTTGATATAACACGGAATTTATATTAACAACGACATTGATAAACATAAACAGTTAAGGACAGATTTGACATTGACAAAGCTCTATATGACACGCTGGCATGACCATTATGACGTCATACATATAATATTGTTGACGGCGATAAATCACTAATAAAACTAGTTTTTGTACAACTTATAAATCATCCTATTGAATAAAGGGAATGTCAAAATCACCTCATCACACTTCTATATATAGTTTGTACGTGTTATATTCGGATGCTGAGCCATATCATCAGACATGGCTTTGTGACGAAAGCGCCACTGGCGAGGCGATTACAACCTCCGGCTAACACTGCGCCTGATGATATTATTTTCATTTCCTTCGTCGTTCTAGATGTAAGTTTGGCGCTATTTAGGTCTATCATTGGCTTTCTGTCATCGTCTGTATGGTTTTCCAGAATCCAACAACCATAAGGTTCCTTTATTAATTTATTTTATTTTTTATCTCATTTTCTTTTAAATGGCTGCAAGACTCCTTTGGTCAATAGCGGACCATTTTCATGAAGAAGACAGGCCGGCCACACAACATAATCTACATGGTCCCCGGACTGTGTGTAGAACATGTACAACTCAGTCTGGACCGGTGAACCTTTTACCAGTTTTGACGTCAATACCAGAGGAGGAGACTGGACATTCATGTACCACGTGATCTCAGCACAATCTTTGTAGAATTGTATCAGATGATCATTTTCACTTTTCTTTTCTAGTATCTTCAGCATTCTTTCTTTCTCTTTAAGGAAACGCTACAAAAACATTCAAATATATCATTGTTTTTCTGTTTGAGCACCACAACCAATCGCAAAAATACCAACAATCTATCAATTAGCTCCAATAACGTACAGTTTTCTTTCATCCTTTCTTTTCGTTTTTCACCTAAGTTACAGGATGGTATCACATCATAAATGTAGAGTACGAAAAAATTTTCCTCGTTACAGAAACAGCGATGTGGGATTGAAAGTACGAGAAATATTCCTCATATTAAACAAATTACATGATTCCTTCTGTTAATGTGCTTACTGTTTTAACTTGTCGTTTAAAGGGTGTGAAAGAATATATGCAGTGTTATACATACAGCTGTAACTGTATAAACCAAGTTTCAGGTCACAGATACCATTGTATATCAGCGTTTGTATAATGATATGTGGAATACATTTGTATATCACAAAGTTATTTTACTTACCTTTTGTACTTCCGGAACAAATGCAGGTGCTGAGGATTTCAGCAATTGCTTAATCAGGTCTATACATTCATCAGGCAATGATACAGGTTTCTGCAGGAAATGACACAATTTCAAATAGCTCTTATAACTGTGTGACTTAAAAATGAGAAATCATGATATTGAGCCCAATGCAATTGTGAACAGCAAAATACTTGCTTAATAATTTCAATGACTGGAGTCAACACATTTCTAATACAGTTATTACAAGAACGTGTGAAAGAAGCGGCCACGAAGAGTAAACGTCGGGTAAAGAAGGGTACAATTAAGATCAAGATGGGAAAACTTAAGATCAGGTAAGGTAAACTTAAGATCAGGTAAGGTAAACTTAAGATCAGGTAAGATAAACTTAAGATCAAGTAAGGTAAACTTAAGATCAGGTAAGGTAAACTTAAGATCAATATGGGAAATTGAAGATCAATAAGGGAAACTTAAGATCAGGTAAGGTAAACTTAAGATCAGGTAAGTTAAACTTAAGATCAGGTAAGGTAAACTTAAGATCAGGTAAGGTAAACTTAAGATCAGGTAAGGTAAACTTAAGATCAATAAGGTAAACTTAAGATCAATAAAGTTAAGATCAAGATGTGAAAACTTAAGATCAAGATGTGAAAACTTAAGATCAGGTAAGGTAAACTTAAGATCAAGTAAGGTAAGCTTAAGATCAAGTAAGGTAAACTTAAGATCAATAAGGTAAACTTAAGATCAAGATGTGAAAACTTAAGATCAAGATGTGAAAACTTTAGATCAGGTAAGGTAAACTTAAGATCAAGTAAGGTAAACTTAAGATCAATAAGGGAAACTTAAGATCAAGATGTGAAAACTTAAGATCAAGATGGAAAAGCTTAAGATCAAGAAAGGGAAACTTATTGCCATATGTTACAAACTTAAACAAATAATAAGCCACTTTTATCTGTACTACTCAACAGGATTTAACAGAATCATTGTAAAGTAAAACTATCCTAGTCCACTTTATCTTTAATTTGTTACAGAAACACTCCTATGAAAACCCGGCTTAAGGTATTCATGTGAATACGTGATATGTTTTTGCTATTTTTAAATGATTATTCAAGTAATTAATATAAATACACACACACATATATATATATGGGGGGGGGGGGGGGGGGGGGGGGAGGGGTGGAAATTAGTAAGTAATATGGAATGTTAAGTCCGGTACTATATCCTAACAAACAAATGTTTGTTGGATGTGTATTGAATAGATGTATGATCGATGAATCCATAGCGACAGTACTGACAAATGAATTATTGAAATTTTATTAAGAAACAAATAAGACACAAAATATTAAATAAATTACACTACAAGGAACATAAAACAAATACAAAGTTATAGACTATGATCCAGAGCGGTGGTGTTAATTTAGGTGTCCCGATAATCCCTTCGGCCGATGGACGCCGAAGTCCCTTTATAGGGGGAAACATCTTAAGTTGTAAATGTTTTGTAGAAATATCGGTACTCTGCGTAACTGCAACTGTATGGCTATGAAGAGCGTTTGATTTTACCATATATGGTTCCTGATACTTTTTTTTAAATTTCTAGTTATTGTGAGCCATTTTGGCTCAGCCCTTAATGTTCCTTGGGGGTGTTAATGTCAATTGTTTGCGAACGGACGACGCACCACATGGGACAAAATCGGCGATTGCAATAGTTTTCATGTCATAATCAAAACAAGGAAATCAATTTCAGCACAAAACCATTCATATAATGAATGAATATTTCATTCCACATTTTTTCCTATTCTATAAATAGAGACTTGACTCCTTACCTCTTCATGTTTACCCTTCCCCTCGGTGCAAGGCAACATCTGTGATCTGTGTGTTAATTGATTCAGCTGCTTTTCTCGTAGATCAGCAGTGAATTTATAACTGTCCTGATAACAGAATCAGAAAAGTATTTAAAGTCTATGTGTTACATGAGTAAGGTGTCTTTTCATCGCATACTGATGTATCACTTATCACATACACTACCTGCGATTACAGAGCTGAAGTCATTAATTATAAACGAATCTTCAAAATATCCAGATGTATCACGGATCTTAAAGAAAATTTAACGTAAATAGAACGTTTTATTCTTCGAGATTGGTCAACCACATAAATTCACAAGACGGAAAGGCATGCCCAAGGCAATTTGGGTGCTAGCGTACATGAACTGATCGTAGAATGATATTGGTAATATCGATTGTAAATCTAACACGAAGGTATAAAATGTCTGTGACGTTTTGATTGTTTGTACATCACTATAGATCGGGTATTTCTAAGCTTATCTCATTTTTTCGATAATCGCAGGAATTGAAATTATAAGATTCGATTTTTCCGTGTCTCACGTCTCTTTAAACGTCCGCCTATTTATTTGTAATTTTCTCTTGGTAATTTTTTAAAAAAAAAAAGCAAAATCTCATTTTACTTCCAAAGTAAAACACCAATATCTATGTACATATTTCTCTCATTCCTAACATCTCAAGCTAGAAAAACATTGTATTTGTTCAGTAATTATTCGTAGTGTGCACGCTACTGCGGTTACTCTCGCGGTTATACTTTTCTCTGTATGAAATGTACTCACAACAAGGGCTACAAAGAGGATGTCTATAACCTCTTTCTCTTCAATTCCGTTCTCTATTAACTCGGAAAAGGCGTCGGTCCATTGGTTGGTGTATAACTCTTTTAAACCCTCGGCGATTTTGGTTGGTCTGTTGTGTGTGCTTAGATCGATGATGGCTGGGTTGTTATGTCTTAGTTTTTGACCTGCTATCTCACTGAGTCTAAAACATAAGTTATCAATATTTGAACTTGATATTATGAACTTTAATATTACGTGAAATCTGCATATATTTTGAGGTTCTTGGTACAATATATCCAGTCACCTTTTCTTTCTCAACTATTACTAGTACTATGTCCGCCTTTCCTGTGAAATTGTACAGATATTCCAATATAAAAAATTGATAAACAACAAATATATCTAATTGATACGAGTCACTCAAAATCGTTATAACGTGTTGAATATGCCAGAAGAAATTCTTGAGTGTATTAGGGGTGTATGTCAACGATCAGAAACGTTCACCACAAAAACATAATATATGAAAAAACAGTGACAAGATTTATATCTAATACAAGAATAAATAAAGTTGAAAAAAAGAAAAGTGACAGCGAATTGGTGATAGTTTCCAACGTGCCATCACGGCGTGTTCATTGGCTAACTAAATGGCTTCCTCTTACTACGAATTCACAACTACATGAGAGAGATACTAGGGAAGGGAGTGGAGGGAAGGGAGTAGAGGGAAAGCAGTAGGGGGAAGGAAGTAGAGGGAAGGCAGTAGAGGGAAGGGAGTAGAGGAAAGGCAGTAGAGGGAAGGGAGTAGAGGGAAGGGAGTAGGGGGAAGGCAGTAGGGGGAAGGAAGTAGAGGGAAGGGAGTAGAGGGAAGGGAGTAGAGGGAAGGCAGTAGGGGGAAGGAAGTAGAGGGAAGGCAGTAGAGGGAAAGCAGTAGAGGGAAGGAAGTAGAGGGAAGGGAGTAAAGGGAAGGGTGTAGAGAGGAGGGAGTAGAGGGAAGGGAGTAGAGGAAAGGGAGTAGAGGGAAGAGAGTAGAGGGAAAGGAGTAGAGGGAAGGTAGTAAAGGGAAGGGAGTAGAGAGAAGGGGGTAGAGGGAAGGGAGTAGAGTGAAGGGAGTAGAAGGAAGGGAGTAGAGGGAAGAAGGAAAGGGAAGGGAGTAGAGAGAAGGGAGTAGAGGGAAGGCAGTAGAGGGAAGGAAGTAGAGGGAAGGGAGTAAAGGGAAGGGAGTAGAGGGAAGGAAGTAGAGGGAAGGGAGTAGAGGGAAGGGTGTAGAGAGGAGGGAGTAGAGGGAAGGGAGTAGAGGGAAGGGAGTAGAGGGAGGGAAGTAGAGGGAAGGCAGTAGAGGGAAGGGAGTAGAGGGAAGGGATTAGAGGGAAGGGAGTAAAGAGAAGGGAGTAGCGGGAAGAGGAGTAGAGGGAAGGAAGTAGAGGGAAGGGAGTAAAGGGAAGGGTGTAGAGAGGAGGGAGTAGAGGGAAGGGAGTAGAGGGAGGGAAGTAGAGGGAAGGCAGTAGAGGGAAGGGAGTAGAGGGAAGGGATTAGAGGGAAGGGAGTAAAGCGAAGGGAGTAGAGGGAAGGGAGTAGAGGGAAGGGATTAGATGGAAGGGAGTAGAGGGAAGGGAGTAGAGGGAAGGGAGTAGAGGGAAGGGAGTAAAGAGAAGGGAGTAGAGGGAAGAGGAGTAGAGGGAAGGGATTAGAGGGAAGGGAGTAGAGAGACGGGAGTAAAGAGAAGGGAGTAGAGGGAAGAGGAGTAGAGGGAAGGGAGTAGAGGGAAGGGAGTAGAGAGAATGTAGTAGAGGGAAGGGAGTAGAGAGAAGGGAGTAGAGGGAAGGCAGTAGAGGGAAGGGAGTAAAGAGAAGGGAGTAAAGGGAAGGATGGGGAGTAGAGGGAAGGAAGGGGAGAAGGGGGAAGGGAGTAGAGGGAGGGAAGTAGAGGGAAGGGAGTAGAGGGAAGGGAGTAGAGGGAAGGGATTAGAGAGAAGGGAGTAAAGAGAAGGGAGTAGAGGGAAGGTAGTAGAGGGAAGGAAGTAGAGGGAAGGCAGTAGAGGGAAGGGAGTAGAGGGAAGGGAGTAAAGGGAAGGATGGAGAGTAGAGGGAATGGAGTAGAGGGAGGGAAGTAGAGGGAAGGGAGTAGAGGGAAGGGAGTAGAGGGAAGGGATCAGAGGGAAGGGAGTAAAGAGAAGGGAGTAAAGGGAAGGTAGTAGAGGGAAGGGAGTAGAGGGAAGGGAGTAGAGGAAAGGCAGTAGAGGGAAGGGAGTAGAGGGAAGGGAGTAAAGAGAAGGGAGTAGAGAGAAGGGAGTAGAGGGAAGGGAGTAAAGGGAAGAGAGTAGAGGGAAGGGAGTAGAGGGAAGGGAGTAGAGGGAAGGGATTAGAGAGAAGGGAGTGAAGAGAAGGGAGTAGAGGGAAGGGAGTAAAGAGAAGGGAGTAGAAAGAAGGGAGTAGAGGGAAGGGAGTAAAGAGAAGGGAGTAGAGAGAAGGGAGTAGAGGGAAGGGAGTAGAGGGAAGAGAGTAGAGGGAAGGGATTAGAGGGAAGGGAGTAGAGGGAAGGGAGTAAAGGGAAGGGAGTAGAGGGTAGGGATTAGAGGGAAGGGAGTAGAGGAAAGGCAGTAGAGGGAAGGGAGTAGAGGGAAGGGAGTAGAGGGAAGGGATTAGAGGGAAGGGAGTAGAGGAAAGGCAGTAGAGGGAAGGGAGTAGAGGGAAGGGAGTAAAGAGAAGGGAGTAATGGGAAGGATGGGGAGTAGAGGGAAGGAAGGGGAGTAGAGGGAAGGGAGTAGAGGGAGGGAAGTAGAGGGAAGGGAGTAGAGGGAAGGGATTAGAGAGAAGGGAGTGAAGAGAAGGGAGTAGAGGGAAGGTAGTAGAGGGAAGGGAGTAGAGGGAAGGGAGTAGAGGAAAGGCAGTAGAGGGAAGGGAGTAGAGGGAAGGGATTAGAGGGAAGGGAGTAAAGAGAAGGGAGTAGAGAGAAGGGAGTAGAGAGAATGTAGTAGAGGGAAGGGAGTAGAGGGAAGGAAGTAGAGGGAAGGGAGTAGAGGGAAGGATGGGGAGTAGAGGGAAGTGAGTAGAGGGAGGGAAGTAGAGGGAAGGCAGTAGAGGGAAGGGAGTAGAGGGAAGGGATTAGAGGGAAGGGAGTAAAGAGAAGGGAGTAGAGAGAAGGGAGTAGAGAGAATGTAGTAGAGGGAAGGGAGTAGAGGGAAGGAAGTAGAGGGAAGGAAGTAGAGGGAAGGAAGTAGAGGGAAGGGAGTAAAGAGAATGGAGTAAAGGGAAGGATGGGGAGTAGAGGGAAGGAAGGGGAGTAGAGGGAAGGGAGTAGAGGGAGGGAAGTAGAGGGAAGGGAGTAGAGGGAAGGGAGTAGAGAGAAGGGGGAAACAATCAGATCAATCTTTCCGATAGAAACCTCTGTACTTATGCTCATTCGAGTCTTTTTGCAGGTAACCGTACGTTCACAACGATCAACAATGGTGTCTGTTGAATCAAAATTTCAATTACTCATTAATTCAATGCACGTGCATTCTACGGCTATTCCATTAAATAACACCATGCCAGCAGTTTATTTATTGTTAAGTTATATATTTTCGTGGGGATCAAATTTTGTGATTTTTTTTTTTCGAAAAACGACTGTTTCGTAGACACTTGAATTTCTCGATAAATATTGTTGAGTAACTCTACTTATAAGAGTTGTGAAATTTTGAATTGGTGGACTGCGTGAGACTATTCACGAAATCTACGAAAATTAGTTCTCCACGAAAAGTACTGAATTTACAGTAGATCAAACAGCCGCATTAAACGTCTGCAACCACTAAATGTATATTCGTGTAGATCCTTCATAAACACCAAATAAGCAAAATGGCAATACCTTTGATTTCTACATAATCGATGGAACAAAAAAATCACAATCCTTGCGACAAATTACGAAAATACAATTACCTGAGGAACTATGCAAAAGCATTTATAAAAGAATAAGGCCATGCTTTCCTGGAAGCGTCTTCTGATTCATAGAACACACCTGCATAATGATATATACTCTATAAACCAAATCAACTACGACTAAACATTTTAGGGCAACAGGTTTGGTACCCGGTAAACAGGTCTTAAAATCTACATAGATCATTCTTATCAATCATTAACTTTCAATAAAATATAAAGATTTATCATTCTCATACAAGCAATGACTAACGGTGTACCAAACAATTCTGTCTGTGTTATGTACGAATAGTGGTAGGGAGGATTGGACGTTTGGTAAACGGGTTCTTGTAATAAAAAAAAATAATGTTTTGAATTTTTTAAGCTAGCAGTTCCATTATTGAGGTCCCAGGTTACTGGTATCAGTTGACAAACTTATTAAATAGGTCCCAGGTTACTGGTATCAGTTGACAAACTTATTAAATAGGTCCCAGGTTACTAGTATCAGTTGACAAACTTATTAAATAGGTCCCAGGTTACTGGTATCAGTTGACAAACTTATTAAATAGGTCCTAGGTTACTGGTATCAGTTGACAAACTTATTAAATAGGTCCCAGGTTACGGGTATCAGTTGACAAACTTGTTGAATTTACTCTAATAAAAGTTGTCATGCGTTAAATCAATGTAAGTTTCAAAATGGTTTCATTGGTTCAAATCTGATAGAATTACGAATACAAAATTCCAGACCTGTTCATGGCCTCGTCTTTCTCCCTCACGACCCGACGATGTGCCTGGTAATGAGCATCCAGTTCTTCTTGTTGTTCGGCGTTTATTTTCCTCAGTTCATCAATACGTGAATCTTGTCCGGCTACTTTGTTCCTTCCTTCTCGATTCTCCATCGCTCTCATTTCTAATTGTTTTTGTAAATCGCGAATCTGTTCCATGAGTTTTTGCCGTTCCCATGTTGGAAAGTCTTTTTCTGTTTGATATTGAGCCTGTAATTGTCGCCTGTCTGTTGTTTGGGGTACACCTGTTGGAGAAAACGGAAGGTATTGTTCACCGCCATACTGTCGCCTGTCTGTTGTTTGGGGTACACCTGTTGGAGAAAATGGAGAGTATTGTCCACCACCATACTGTCCCTGTTGTTGCTGGTC